TTAATGGTTGAAAGTTTTGTTTTTGTGAAAACTTCTTTCACTTCGATTTCAATTCACAAGAAAAACACAAAAAACTATTGAATCCATGTATTCATTAATTAAACTGTAGTTCCCAGAGAGAGAGAGATGAGGTTAATTCAATGTAAAGAATTAATATTTAATCAATAAATGATCAAATAATGCCTTAAACCTCAAAAGTCCAATCAATTAACGGCTAAACTTAGAAAATATTTTTAAACATTAACTTACAAAAATTTATTAAATTTAATTTGTTAATTAAATCGTAAATGCATGTAAATGTTTGTGTAAATATACTAATTAATCTGTAAACAAATATAATTAGCACTCAATTTATTGGCGAAAATTTATTAATAATTTTAAAACTTTTAAACTATTTTTTTGGTAATGTAATGGACCCTTGTTAAACTACTACTAATCCTACAGTTTATGTCTACAGTAATTCATTTAAACAAGCTTTTGAACAGGTAGTCAGACATAAAACAGGATAACCACCCGTCCACCTAAACACACAATAAATCATAATAACAATCAAACAATTAAAAACGTAATTCACAAAATGCTTTTAAAATTATTTTGCAAACTGTTGCTTAAAAATATGTTTTTGTGCTTATATCAAGTATAATAGTAAGTTAATATAAGTTTTACTATGGTATAATAAATTAAATGAATTTTATGAATAGAAAACATATTTAACAATTAATTGCAACTTTTTTTATTCAATATAAATTTCATTCATTACAAAACAATAATAACATTAAAGCGTTATAATGTAATAATAGTGTTAATTAAAAAAAACATACACTAAATCTGTATGCGATTGTGTGAAAATGTATTTTTAATTTTAATGACTTTTATCGGTTGTATTAATACATAAATTAACTAATTTTCTACATTTGCCACATCAGTCCAACTGATTTAATCGACATATTTTAAACCCACGTGTTATTCAATAACATGCAATTTATAACCAAAAATACTTTTTATCCCGAAATATTAAATAATTTATTACAATAAGCATTTTAATTGACTTTTATATCTCGTTTATTCATTGAGCACACAAAATACTGTTTAATAATTTTTTCATTAAAGTTAATTAAATACTAACAAATGGCAAATTAGTGGTATCATTTAAATACTGTTTATAATTAATAGCTAATTGTTTTTCTTACAAAAATAACACAAAAAAGCTAAATATCCTTTAGACTATAAATAAATATACACAACTATACCAGACATTAAACACAAAATTAAATCAGGATTTGAAGTAAAGTTTATTTGGCAAAAGTGGGCAAAATATTGAACATAAATCTTATTTTATACCAAATTCTTGTCACTATTTCTTTAAATCTTTCGCAAAGTTTTTTCATTGACTGCAAAAGGGGTTAATCGAAAAACATGTGAAAAGGTTTTCCAATAAATAATACGATGATAACAATTGTGTATTTAAATCCTGGCTATAAATCGCTACATAAATTGTATTACAATTTGAATATTATAGCAATATTTGTCAAAAATTTAAATGTTGAGAAAAAATCGGTGTTCATATTATATTTGAAAATTTATAATTACTTTTGCGGTAATAAAATATATGAAGTAATCGATTACTAGTTGATGTTATTGAGTAGTAATAAGCAATGTAAGTATAAATACAAAAAGCTTTTATGGGAAACTCGTGAATATGAAATAAATATAAGTATTAGTTTTATTGTAAGTGGGCATTAATTTTAAAATTATATTTTAAACCTATTTTTAAATTCATTAACAATGAATACCTAGTAGTAGTTACAAAATATTACTTTAAAGTATTTTTGAAACTTTATATAAATAATTATATTGATTACTTCGAGAGAGAGAGAGAGTCTTTAATACAAATATAAATTGTATTACAATTTAATTTATAAAACATTTACTAAAATCAATCTTAAAATTATATACAATTTTGTGGCCATTATTAGTGCCTTTCTTTATAATTGAGAGCCCAATAAATCATTGATTTGCTCTCAATTTGTTGTTTTTTCTAAAAATGTTTTTTATTTCTTTAATCCAAATATATTTATAATGAATTTAAATGTAATAATAAATACATTATTTAAGTGGTTGTCAATGTGTGTGGTTTAATGTCCTGTTCCCTGTTGTGCGGATGGAAAGGGAGGTTGTAAATGAAAATGAAGTGGTATATAAACCAGTTACCATGATAAATTATCATTGATAATCAATATTAATATTTTAATATCAATAGCAATAGTGAATATATTATTTTCATTAAAAATCACTGAAAAAGTCCTCATAAAATTATATTCTATAGCTATAGATACTGTATTGCAAAATAGCAAAATACTTCAAAATTTTCCCAACTCTAATGACACTGTATATTTATGTCTATAATTTACACTAATGTTCAATTAAAAAGTAAAATACTTTCATGTATAATTTTATTATTTCGCAAATTAAGTTAATGGTTGAAAGTTTTTTTGTGAAAACTTCTTTCACTTCGATTTCAATTCACAAGAAAAACACAAAAAACTATTGAATCCATGTATTCATTAATTAAACTGTAGTTCCCAGAGAGGGAGAGAATCTTAACATTTTATAATATGTATAATATACTAATAAATATATTATGTGTTCACACAACTAATTTCATGTGCCATTTATACGCCAAAAAAATCAAGTATTTATGTAATGAGGGTATGGAAGCTCACAGGTATGTAAGCTGTTTGTGAGCAACATTATAACACTGGTATGTTTTGGCCATACAATTCAAACCAATACCAAAGCATATGATTTGAAACACACGTAAAAATGTCATTTACATATAAATGTTGTGTTTTTAGGCGGCTTTTTATCTCAACACAAACCGTGTTATAAATATATACTTCAAAGTCAAATTATGTTAACTGTTATAATGCAATGTTGCCAAATTTTATTGCCATTTGTTAAATAATATTATTATTGTTAACATTTGTTAGGCTTTATCTTAACAACTGATGACTTTACTGTGTAGTATTATCTCAGATATATTTTAGGCATTAATGTGTTTATATTTTATTAAAACAATAGCCTTTATATATATATATATTAACTCATTTATGTTATGAAAACATAACTAGATTTTCTCAATAATTAGCAGTTTTTATGTTAAGATCTCTCATTTGCTTTTGACATTTAATTTAATGATTTCTATGTCATAAGACGAATGTTTTATTTTTGTAAAAATATATTTAATAAAACGCTTTTTGAGATCAATATTATAGCGGTATTTATATAAACTTTGGGTCGAAAAGTATATTTTACGATCAAATTAGCAGCACTTGTAGTCAATAAAAAGTGTTTTTATTTCTGTGTCTAAATGCAGGGGAAAAGCCCGTAGAAAATAGGACTCGATTTCAATCTTAAGCACCGATTCATAATAACAACAATTTTTGTGCAACAAAATTATAAATAACTTTTTTTGTATTTTAAAGTTTTTGGCCCTAGGGTGTATTTTATTTATTAGGCATATTCATTGGCAATAGGCTTTACCAGTGCACAATTAAAAGTAAAACCATTTTCATTGATTATTAATACGTTTGTAAATGTTAGTTTATTATTTTTAGTCTTTTTTTGATTTATGATTTATGCATAATTGTCTATTTTTAAATGTTTGAGAAATTAATAGCATTTCATACAATGTGTAATCCATCAAATGAAATGTTGTGAGATTTTTATAAGATTTGTAGGCTTTTATTGCACTAAATCTTTAATTTACATTTAATTAAAATCAGATTACATTTATGTATCTACTGTATACTATAGATTAAAATTTCTATTTCTGTATTTTATTCAATTAAAATATTAATATTGAAATCTATATTGTATACTTAATATTTCAGTCTCTCTCTCTCTCTCTCTCTCTCTCACACACACACACACACACCAAAGACACATCTATTAATAGCCGACAATAGATAAAGAAATTAAATAGAAAACAATTTTTCATCAATTATTTAGAAAATTAATTCAAAGTTTATTGAATTAAAATAATATATTTATAGAACATTCAGACGAGTAAATCACATTGAAATTCAAAAACTGTATTCAATGAATATATTATATGTAAATCCTTTTATAAAATTTTAAGTATACCTGTATTAATACAGAATATCTGAAAGACTTAAGTATAATGAATAGCAATTTAAGCATACATAACATGTATAACATTTTGCTAACTTGAAATGTCTTATCGATAAAATATATTAATAAATATACGGCTTGAATCACTTTTATCTCAAAATGCAATGAATTAATTCAATAATATTCAATGGAAAGGCACTTGTATTTTACGTGATCTCAAAAAACTTCAAAAACATGTCAATCACACAAAGTGTAGACATTAATGAAAAAGGTGTCAATTATTTATACTATCTTATATAAATATAGTATACTTTTTATAGGGAACCGTATGGCATAGATTGCCCTACAGTTGACCCGTACTCAACATAATAGTTAAGATGTATTTCCAAACATGAAGTGCCCTTTAAGTGTAAGAAATACTTTTTTCTCTATAATAAAAAAGTTAAAATTAAATTTGATGTCAAAATGCAAAGTTTCATAAGTGGTTCTCCCAATGACTTAATTGCATATCAAATATGTAAACTAACATTTCATATGACATTATATAAACACACTATTAATACATCATAACATACGATTTCAGTGGGCAATTGATTTCTAATAAAATAATTTTTTAATTAACAAAAATTAATATTAATGAAAAAATATTTAACTTTTTTAACGAAATAATATTAACGCTTAAATGCGTATAAATAAAAATTAAAAAATCAATTTTTCATGATTTCAAATCGGAGTAAGCATCTCACAAAATGTTTAATAAGGATATCTCAATGTTTTCTTATCAACAAATTATATTGAATTTTTTAAAACACAAATTTGTGTTTTTAAAATTTATTTAAAAACCACACACAACATTGTTTACTAGCAGTATTAAAATAGGGCCCCCAGGGAGCCCTCCAAAAAAAATCTCATTAAAAATTATCGTTTCCCTAAATCATAGTATAAAATATTCAAAATAAAAGTTTGTACTTTTTTATGTAGGATTTTGTATTATGGTTAACACTATAGAAAAAATTCTTTTTAATTGCATTTCTATAAAAATATGAAAATACGATATAATTGCTGCTAATGCCAGAGAAAATCTTTTTTTTAATATACAAAACAATTTAATGAATGTTTGGGATTTTCTTTATTACCATTTTTTAATCATATTTATTTTTAGGTCATTTTTATGATGTATTGAAATTTGAGTTTAATTTTAAATCAGAATCAAAAATATCCTTTTTATTATTACTCTGAATTAAAAATCTCATTAATTGTATGATTTATTAGCAATAATTCAATGAAAGCATTTGATTTATTTTGCTTAATTACCTTAAATACAGTAAATGTATAGTATTTTCTATGGGCGAATACAAAAGGGTTATAATATATACACAAATCTTGGGTTAATTTTGTTGTATTACTAAATAAACTACTTTATAAATACCGTTATGTATTCATTTTCATAGAAAATACATTTGCGATCATTCATAAAAGTCAAATTTTGAAAGTTTGCCATTATTACATTGAAAACTGATACTGATAATTGTAATCATTTAGATATGAAATCAGGTATTAATTATTTTTATATTCAAAACATAGACATAATAATAAATGATTGAAAATTTTTGGTTAAATAATACGCTTGTTTAACGGTATTTTTATGCAATAATCTCTATAATAAACAGTTAAATATTACTACTTGTTGTTAACAACCGATTTATGCAAAACATATTTTGTGTGTATATTAATGAGAATTTTTTCTATATTTAATTTCATTAATGATATTTACATTATAATTATTAGGTTTCATAATATGCATTGTATAATTTAAATGCTTTAATAACATCATTATAATGCGATTAACTATAATGTTGAAACTTACCATTAGTCTAATTTTTAATACTAATATTATATTTTAGTAAATTTTGGAGAGAGAGAGAGAGAGAGAGAGCTTAGAAGTAATGTTAATAAAATCTAATGATACTGTATTATAATTAATATTTTGTTATCTTAATGCATAGACATCTATAAATATACACAAAATAAAATTAAAATTAAAACAACAAAATTGGCATCAAAAATAGTTTTTATTTGAATCACAATTTTTATAATACATAATTTGAAGTGGCAAACATTTATTATCCATTCACACAATTGAAAAAATAAAATATTTACTTAAACATGGTATTGAAAAAAAATCTGAAAAGTATTTGTCACTCATTATAGCAAACATGAAATCCATTACAAAAAACATTAAATAAATACAATTAATCACTAAAATCAATAAACCTTTAAAACACAATTGAAACAATAAAATCTATTAATTAAAACAGCAAACAATGATATGGTAGTCAGAGATAGACAACAAATTAATGAAAAGGAAATAAATATACAAATGAATTGAAAACCTACTATATATACTAATGAAAAAACAATTCGGGTGCTATCTCTCATCCCTGTCCACAGAATTGTAGGCTATACTGTGGTCTAAATAATTATATGGCTTATAGTGACTGTGAGGCATACTCTTTGGTGGCAATTGAATGCCCTTGATCATGTCGGCCAACCGCTCGGCCACCATAATAATGGGTGCGTTTGTGTTGCCGCCGATGATGTTCGGGAATATGGATGCGTCGGCCACTCGTAGGCCCTTAACACCGCCTAAAACCCGTAGCTCCGGGTCGACGACTGAGGTGGGGTCGTGAGCAGGGCCCATTTTGCACGTCCCGATCGGGTGGTATATGGTGTGGGTCAGTGTCCGGGCCAAACACGCCAAGTATTTGTCCGAATATAGTTTGTAGCCCTCGCAGCCTACATAATGGTAGGTATGCATCAAAAGTGTGTTTTTGGTATCATATCAAGTTAAGTTATACTATGTTTTCAAATCTTGTTGTTTTTGATTTACTTTTGATTTTGAGAAAAGTTTTGTTTTTATTTGTTTTAAATAAATAAATTATTTCACGCGTTTTTAACTTGTACGGTATTATCTATATATTTAATTGTGGTTTTTTGCTCTCTCTCTCTCTCTCTCTCTCTCTCTCGATATGTGTGAGAATTCTTTGTGATTTTTTTTCAATTGATTTATTGCGTGAATTGAGTGACATTTAGAGTGTAAACTAAAAGCTAAACTTGAGTTTTGATTTTTTTGAATAATAAATGATGATCACTTGTTTGTGAGAGTAATAAAAAAGTAATAAAATAATTATAACTTCATTCAAACCGTATAACAATTTGTAACTCCTTTTTGTTTAACATATAAAACACTGGCTATTTATCATAATAAATGACAATTAAGCACACAATTTGAATAAATACCATATAATAGCTTCAAATTATTGTATTATTTTGTGTTTACTTTCCTAAACATGAGACTAGCAAAAAAAACTTGTGAATTACTTACTAAATGGTTTTTAGTTTTTAATGCACTTCCCATACAGAAAAACAGTATATAAACTCAATGGACACATACCTGGCACTACTTTATCAATGAGCCGGGAGCCCAACCTCCTCAAGGGTGGCGAGTGACCCAATTTGATGGTGATCTTCATGGCCTCCACCATCGTCTTAATGTCGTGCGGGTGCGTCAGATACCGGGGCTCAATGATCGGTGGGTCGTAAGGACTGGCACTTCGCAGCTTAATATAGCCCACACTCTTGGGCCTCAACAGGACCGGGAACAGTGAGAAACAGTCGTTATTCACGTACGGGAAGTACACCTTTTCCCAGATCTCATCCGTAATGCCGACGTTATGGCGAAAAATCCTGCCGTCGTCTGCAAAATCATACAATTTTTTTCACAAAAACAGTAAAAATGGGAAAAAATAAAAGTTTTTTGTTTTAGCTTTTGGTTAATAATGAATGATCTCTCGGAGAAAATAACATTTTAATCGATTAATACGCGACTAAATAATAATATATTGCGTTAAATGTCTCAATCGATAGCAAACAATAAATTGCATCTCATTTTTTCAGTGATAATTAATTTGTCGGTTAATACGCCTCCCGGGGCTCTACCACTCACCTGACGAGAGACAGGCGCACACCAAATGAATCTCAAAATCGGGCAAATCGTGGGTTTTGTTGGCGTATTTGGTTTTGATGAAACCCAGCCCTTCCAGCCCACCGGTGCTGGCCAGGGGTCCCGTGCCGTCCGAGAAATAGCGCACAAAATTGATGGGCTTCTGGATCTTGCGCTGCATATAAGACAGGTCTTTGGCGGCGAATAAGTGATCTTTGATGGAGTCCTGCTCGACCACAAAGTGCAGGCCTCCCGGGTATATGTGGTCCTGGAGGTTCTGTCCTACGGGCAGGTCGGCGATCACCGGTATTTTTAGGCGTTTCAGTTGCTCTTTAGGCCCGACACCTATTAATGAACCATCATTGAGTGATATAGTTGTGGCAAAACACGTATAAACAAATTATTTCTCAAAAGTTTTTTTCAAAATTTGAAGTCTTATAATTGCATTCATTTCATGCATTAATAGAGTTTTCGTTATCTATAAGTTTGGATATTGATGTCAATTATATTCTCTATTTCTACGATTCATCTCTACTTTATATTTGGATCAAAAGGTTTTTGGATTCACTTTATTATGCATTAAGAGTTAAATGGATTTTTATTTCAATATAATAAGTATCAGTAATGTATTTATATAAATTATATCATAATAATTGGGTCCATTTGGGTAAATGATTTTTGAGAGAGAGAGAGAGAGAGAGAGAGAAAGAG